TCGGTCTGTCTGTCTCGGTCTGTCTATCTCGGTCTGTCTTGCTTTGTCTGTCTCGGTCTGTCTGTCTCGGTCTGTCTATCTCGGTCTGTCTTGCTTTGTCTGTCTCGGTCTGTCTGTCTCGGTCTCGGTCTGTCTGTCTCGGTCTCGGTCTGTCTGCCTTTTTCTGTTCTGTCTGTCTCGGTCCGTTTCGGTCTGTCGGTCTCGGTCGGTCTGTCTCGGTCTATCTGTTTCGGTCTGTCTGTCTGTCTTGGTGCGTCTGTCTCGGTCTGTCAGTCTGTGTCTCGGTCGGGCAGGACGCACGGACGAACACATCAACGATGTCAATAATGCAGTGTCCCGGGCTGCACACGCATCAGCGATGTCGATAATGCGATGTCAACCCGCCAACATAACCGGCATCGCTAACGTTTGGTCCAGTTTGTATCCATGCTCAAAAACATTGCAAAACAAAGCATTTCCCGGACAAAAAGCTCCCCCCAAGCTAACGCTCAAGATTTAATCTAGCAGATTTCTTGCGGCTGCTGTTGACGCGAGCCTCCACAACGTCTCGGCACCTTCGGTGCGGGCAGATTTCTGACGACTTTTTTTCGATACTAGTGATGGATGCGAAGTCGCTATCAAAGGCCCGTGGTCAGCGATATGCTGCCCGAGTGGACTTGCATTATTGGCATTATGTGCTTCTCAGAAAACTGCCAGAGAAAGAGAAGAGCAAGAGAAAAAGAGTGAGAGAGAGAGAGAGAGAAAGGACGAGACAAAGAAAGAGACAGAGGCAGAGAAAGAGGACGAGAAGAACCAGAGAAAGAGAAAGAGAACAAGAAAGGAATCAAAAAAAGAGAAAAAGGAAGAAAGGTCAAGAGGAATGGAAAGAGAAAGAGAAATTGTCCAGAGAAAGAGACAGTTTTACCGCCTTCCATCGCAGAACCGTTGAGAAAGAACCAGGCAAAGAGCAAGAAGAAGAGAAAGCGAAAGAGGAGGCGGCGCAAAAGAACGGAGGATAAGCGAGGGCAACAAATACCGCCTGCACCTGCCCTTCTTGCCTGCCCGGCCCGCTGTACTTTTTCTATTTTTCAGGTCTTATTTTAATCTACTGTCCTAATAAAAACCGCAGACAATGAGCATCTTTCCCTCATCAACTATTTTGGTGAACGGAAATGTCTTACGGTGGTAAAAAGTATGCCACTTATGTGTCCTGGAAGCCTCCAAGCAATTGCCAAAGATTTGTTTGAGAGCTGCGACAGGTCCTGGACCAACAGAATGCGCAAGGGGAGTTCGCACAAGCATGGCACTTGGGGCAGCACCAGCTCTTATCAAAAGAATCAACGTCAAGAATCACCACATGCCCGACCTGAACACCATCATGGTGCAGGAACTGTACTGACATCTGCTTTAAAACAATCCATCGTATTATCACATGGAAGTTATGCAGTGTGCTTGTGGCTTCTCACACTGTATCCAAGGCAACTGCATTCTTCGAAGACCTTGTAGCTCAGCTTGGTGCTTTCATCAATTTTCAATGTGGTATTCTCACTGCCTTCCTTTGGTCAGATTCTCATTACAGTATATGAATACAAATGATCCACGTCTTGCCCTTTCGACGGTTTTCTTGTCCCTCTGTTTCATTCTGTTTCTCTTCGTCCGCCAGTTTCTGTGGAGTTGTAAAGAGCTTGAGCCAGCCTGAGGATGTGGAAGGACATTACCACATGTGACCTGGGACTCTGTGTTCAGGGTGTCTCTGTTGAAACAACATGTTTGACTAAAGTGACTACAAGCCGCAAAGATCTGCAGAAACTGGTCCTCTTCTTTTGCTTCTCCGTTCTCCAAGTTTGTGGAATTCTGCGAATCGGGCACAGGGAAGAGCCTCTGCAATTGCAGTGAGCGTGACTCACCTCAGCAAAAATCAAATGGGGTGAACCTTGCCTCCAGTCTTCATCGCTAGTAGGTTGGAGGCCATTGCTATTATGTTGGAGGCCATCGCTCTTAGGATATCTCTTTAGAAATCTCTTTGGAAATCCATAGGGGTTGCACGAATCAGCTCCCTCAAGGAAGTAGTCATAGGTGCCTGCTCTTCAATGATGTGCAAGAAGCAGTGAATCGAGCAATTGACTGCACAGCGGGAACCTCGTTGTTGGGAAAGAGCTGAACACGAAGCACCTCAGTCTTGAGGTGCGTTTAAAGTTTAAAGGTTCAAAGCATCTATATACATTCTTTGCTCGCATGGCTTTATGCTTTCGCATTGCAGCGAGCTCTGTGTGCTGAGATGTGAGCTGAGTGTTCCAACCCAGAGTGGCGCCTTGTGACATCATAAATTTACCACAGCCCCAACCATCCCTAGCCAATCTATCCAACTTGGCTCTATCAATGTCCCCGCTTCTTCTCTGTGCGCTGGTCTGCCCTAGTTCACTGGCCTCCCTCTTGAATGTGAGTTCACGGCCTGGAACGTCATTCTGCTCTGAGGGAAAGAAATCGATAGAAAAATACTACTGAGAGGAGGACGAGCAAGTCTCTATGTTGATCCGCATAAACCTCAAACATCTCGATGTAAACCTGCAAGGCATTGGGGCACAAAGGCAGTGGAGTGAATGGGGCAACTCACAAGCAGCTGGCCTTGGCTTCAGTTGCCTCGGTAAAAAATAAGGTTTCTCCTAAAGAGCCTTCCAATCTGTCTCCAGTCTTGAGAAAATGTTGAGAAAATGGCCGCGGCGTCAGTTTCCAGCTGGGTGCAGACCTGCGAAGTGATACTTTTGGATTTTTGAACTCTCTTGTGTCTCAAGCTGTGTCTCATTCGGAAATTCCGCCTTGGCTGCTAGCCGATCAGCAAGAGATGCTTTGTCGCTTGAAGGAGCCCCGCAAACGAAGATGCAAAAAGCCTTCCATACAGAACGAAGATCCGTGCAGTCCTAAGAACTCATTGGGCAGCCACACCTCTCCCATCACGGACGCATCAATATCTGGTTTTAAAGCTTGAAATATTCGATTGTCCTCAGCATGAAACCAGGCAAGCAACAAACTGGCTGATGATAACATGTGTATAGATATCGAGAAATGGTCTGCCCAAAGCAATTCAGAGTCCTCGTGACCGAGAATATGCTCGAAATCCATAACACGAGGAGACGATAAGTTGCACCTCGTCGCGGCTAAGAATCGAGTCATCAAGTTTGATCTCATGAACACCGAGTGCTATAGTTGTCTAAATAAAGAAGGTACGGTAAGGACCCCCTTGAAGCTTACCTGTTTGTTCATCTCTTCGTTTAGATCGCTAATGTTAGCTACAAGGTCCAGACCTTTGCTGGACAGAATCAGGCATGCAGCCTGCCAAGGTTGAGGCTACAGACATGGTAAAGCAAACATATTGCAAACTTCATTGATGTATATATATATATATGCTTGTTGTATTGACAATGTGCGCTTGCAGAAAACGTGATCCAAATGAATCCAGGTAGTGGAGATGTTTGTGTTTCTGTTGATATTTCACGAGTGCTGGTCACCACTCAAATGTCTGTTTGCTTCACCTGTGGGGTCCAGTACAAGACAGTGCAAACACCTTCACAATCCTTCATCCACATGCAAAGACCCAAGTCTCACCTGTGCTCATTCGTCTGCGGCTGGTAGGGGCTACCTCTCACAGGATTGAGTTGTCTAAAGTGGCTGAACAACGAGCACACGCCTTCGTGACACAGAGTGAGTCGGCAGCCACCTTTCTGGAGAGATGGAATAAATACTGTACAAATCTTTATGTATGAGGGACCTCCACGTATAATATTCAGCTACGTTCTATTTAGCTTTTTAAAATAGCCCGCAACACTAAAAAGCTACAAGCTACATATTGAGTTTTTTGTTTTTGTAGAATTTCTAGGTACCTGGAAACCAAGGAAACCTGAAGGTTTGATTTCTGGAAATGTTAGTTTTGTGGTGTTCTTTTAGTAGCCCACAAAACTTTAAAAAAAAAACTACTATGTATATATATAGTTGCTTTAAGAATGTTTAGTTCTTGTAGTTTCTTTATAATTTATAAATACCTGGAAACCTAACCTAGAAACCTGAAGGGTTTAACTGTTTAGAACGTTTGGTTTTTACATGTTCTCTTCTTTAATTCCTGGAAACCTAGATACCTTTAAAAAAATAGAATATACATATACTGTATATATGTTGTTTGTTGATGTTTAGAAATTCTAAGCGCCAGGGAATCTGGGAAGACGAAGGTTTTTGTTTATTTTGGGGATTACTTACTTTAAGATTTAAGAACGACTAAACATATATAGGTATGCAGCATGTCCACTGCCTGCATTCTACGCTACATTTCTCTACCTTCATACAGTAACCCTTTTAGTCTACCTTACGTACTGTAATCTCAAACGTATAAGAATAAGTTCATGTTGCTTCACTGTTTCTTTTCAAGTATCGAAGATTGGAAGAGTACAATACAACAGGGTAGAGTAGTGGGAGGAGCCAAGAAACACAGCGTAGACCAGGACTACAAAATAACTCTACAAAGTTTGTCAACCTGTGTGCGCTTCTGCTTTATCTTGAAAAATGTACATTACCCTACCCTGTGCGACTTCTCCTGTTTGTATTTGACCTTGCTCGACGTTTACTTGGAATAGTATATTGTCCGAGTCTCATTGTATTCTTAGTTTAATCGTTTCATAGAATAGAGTAGAGTACAGGACTTGGGACGACTTGAAAGCTGAATGGTGGGGAGTGGGCTCGTAGGTAAGGGGTAGAAAGTTGGAGTTGGAAAGAAACTCCTAATAAACCTAATATGTAAGCCCTTTCACAACATCCTTTTCACATTTATGCACCCAAAGGCTGTGCAAACAAATGATGCACCCAAAAGCTGTGCAAACAAATGATGTACCCTAGCGCTCTGCAAGCAAGTGCGCATCCTACTTGTTCACTCTAATACACTCAGACCTTTTACCCTACCCCCTTTTATATACTCTCTACTTGAAGGCAGGCATGAAAGGAACACTTCTGAGCGAAAGGATACAGAAAGTGAAAACATGTGAACACGCAAGCGTGTAAAAGGCTTCCTTGAACATAGGACAGGAGCGGGGTGCTAGTCTAAGGGAGGGAAGGAACAAACGAGAAGTAAGGCGACAAGATAACCTTTCGGGTTGTAATGCTGCAGGATGTCCTAGACATATGTTTTCCTGCCCATACTTTATTTGTTAATGTCCTCCGTTACTCAGAAAGCAGGCTGTGCAAGAAAGTCCGTAGAGAAATGGGTTTGCGCAACAAGGATCAACAAGCTTAAAGAACAGGATTGCACACCCATAATATTGTTTGATTTTAGTCGCTCTAGTCGCATGGTTGTATTCTGTCTGCAAGTATCTTCCTGTATTTGTTGGCAAGACCGGCAAGACCTCCTCAAATCAGTCAAGTTCATAAGAAGGCAAAGCCAGGCAAAGGATTGTACCTGCAGCTCATGTGGTCCGAGAACTTGCATCCAGTTGCAGTTCTCCTTGCGGGACGTTGAGTATGGTTGTCATGCGCTTGACAAAGGAACCGCCGCTTCGTCTCCATCGTAGAGGACGTTTCAGCCGTCCTTTTCTGGCTCGCTAAACGGTCTGACCTGAATCTGGTCACGGCTGAATTCTCTACTCTTTCTATCTTGTTCTTACCCTGTACCCTGTGCGTTAAATCCTTCTCCTGCAGATTTGAGCTTTTCGCAATAGCCATTCGGCAAAGATTGCCTTTCACCTTACTTGCTGCCTCGCCATCAGGAGCTCTCCATGCTATAGCAGTAACATGAAATATCCATCTGTAAAATGTTTTAAACAAATAGGCATTTCCAAGGTTGAGGTACCTGTCTACTTTGACTTGAGATTGACATACTCATACAGTAGTTTGTTGCACGCACAGGCACAGGTGTCAAGAAGGTCAAGTTAGTTTGGTGTTCGTCCTCCTGGCATCTTGACATCTCTTCCTCTGCGTGATGAGCCTCAGAGTCAAGCATCAAAGTCTCAGAGTCAAGCCTGAGAACGAGAGTCCTGGGCGTCAAGCACGGGCCTTGGCCAATTGGACTTCCTTCAGAGCCTTCACGGAGAGGGGACCACTTTTGCCAATGTAAAGCCAAACAACTGGAACCATCACAGCATTTGCCGCCATGTATGACAATGCACGGTTCTTGTGTGCCATGCCTCATGCAGCAAGCAACTCGTTTCCTCCAAAAAGACTCACATGTGAGTCACATGTGTTTTCATCTTCACTGGGCACCACGCATCATGATCATCTCTTTTTCTTTCGAAGCGCAAAGACTTTGCCGTGCTTTTCACTGCAAGCGGTGACATGCGAGAGCTGCAAACCGCCTTTGTGTTCCCATCCTTAGACTGCGCCTGTACCAGCTGCACTTTCAAGCGCAACCTGGATTCGACGGTGCACGGCAAGGTTGCACTCCTGCAGCCAGGATTCGAGGTGCAGGCATCCAGCATGCTTCTTTCGTCAGACCTTGACGCTTCCAGGGTGTCAACTTTTGAACAAGAACGCCTGGAGCCAAGCTTCAGACTAAACGCCATATCATCCAAAGCATTGTGGAGTCTGTTCAATTTCCTATTTGGAGTTTCCTTTCAGTGCTAAAACTGCGGCATGTTACAAATATAGAATGCTTAAAATGTGGAGGTAGATGAGGTAGTAATTTTGTCAGCTTGGCGGTTCTTTGGGCCAAAAGGCTGCAATGGTCGAGAGTCGAGGTCGCCCTCTTCGCGACAAGAATTCTAAGACAAACGACAAGGAAAATGCATTTTCGGAGTGGAGACGATCAGCATCCGCCAAGTCCAAGCCTTGGTGGACAAGGGAATTATCAAATTGTGCAACCAATGTTTGAGGAAGGCATGTTCAAAAAGCAATAAGGCACACCGGCTCCTGCTGTGGCTGCGGCTGCACAGAACCTCTGGGTGTTGAATTTTCTCCTCCGACGATTTCAGAATGATGACTTCCAAACAAAACTGGAGATTGAACGGAATTGAAATTGAGAAAAAAAGTAAGCTAAATGATTTGTCTATTGGGCTGCTGTATCCGTGCTGGCCTTATGCTTAAAATTGTTGTATACAACTCCAGATATATAGTATGCCCGTTTGCAGAATGTCTTTTCTGCAAGGAGGTTGCAGCAGGAGCCAAAACCACAAGCAAGGAGCGCCGAGGCTCCCAAATGCACAGTTGAGTCGAATGCCAGCACTAATTCCCAGTAACCATATCGCTTGTTGATTGCAAAGCAGTGGCATATAGTTCCGCTGGCAGACCTCACGAAGCCTCACTTACCAGTACTTGCATGTCAAAGCAACCCATTTGGCGGTGGGGGGATTGCCAGATGTTCCGCTGTCCAAAATCCAAACTGACTGACAGGATGACTTCAGAACTTGCCCTGAGCTCCTTTATATACTAGGCATCATGAACGCCAACCGCCAATTTTATTCAATCCAATTCAGTGACGTTTCGCAATGCCAGTACTAACAAAGCCGTACATATCATGTATTGCGAGGCTGCGCTTTCAAAGAGCCTCCAAACGAGGAGTTTTTATACGAGGGCTTTCAAAAGGGTTTGACAACGGACTGGTGTGTTGATGAGCTCAAAGATTTCCACTCACTTCCATGCAATTGCGGCCAGCCACAAGCCAAGGGGTGCGCACGAAGCAGTCAGCACAGCAAGGGCAGCACATGACATTGACGAAGATTCAAAGCCCTTCCAGTCCTGGCTCCATTCAAGACTTGAATATTTTGCACGAGCAGCTGCTGCCTCAGTAGCGATCAAATTTCTACAAAAGGAGTGTCTTCACACTGAGGGTCAAAACCTAATCATAAAGAAAACCAAATAGAATAACAGCAAAATATGGCTTCACTTCTCGTTCCCATGTGTCACCTAGGAGCAACAGTGACACAATTCTAGTAAAAAAACACAAGATAGTTCCCCGTCACAAAATCCATCAATACGCCACGCTAAGAGAAGGACATCACGGATTTGGACCTCGTTGGTTTCACAAAAGAAATTGAAAATAGAAACAAAGACAGATTAGTTTTGAATGGAAACTGTGACGAGAGTCAACAAATGATCTGCAACAAGAAACCATATAATATATGTATATATGTGGCGTCTGTGTGTGTGCGATCCAACTGAATCCACGTTGAACAAGTTGTCTTTTTTCATGTGTGTGGGGAAAACTTTTGATATTTTCTTGCCAGTGCGTTGGAAGTTTGCACAAAGACATAAAGCAGCCGAAAGAGCATCTCCGGTTAAGTCGCCCCTCCCAGGAACAATGAATCTACCAGGGGAGAAATACACCAATTGTGGAATTGAGAATATGTTTGTCAGTTTTAAGATAGTGATTGAAAGATACTTATATAATGATTAATAAGTTTGATGTGAAAAACCACAGCGCTCTAACACGCCTTTTTCATCTGTACCGGTACGGCCTCGGGTATTCGAGTGGTTCATTCCATGGTCTTGTCACACATGGTGTCCTCTACATCATCCTGATTTTCGCACACCCTGGAAGTGGACATGTGTGACATCTTGTACTGCCTATGTGCGCGCTTGGCAGCTAACATCTAGGAACTGGTGTTCAGCACATGTCTCAACAGTGTTGGCTTGACCGAGAGTTTTGTCACGCAGTCAACTAACATCTGTTTGGTGTCTATCCAGCGTATATGGACCTGACGTTGTTTGATGTCTCTTCGCAGGAGCAGCACTTCAATTGCTTGCCTCTTGTCTTGAATCATGCCCACGTCATTCCGCGCGTGATCATACAATGGTGTGTTGTCTGTATATAACTGCGATCACGACCACTTGATGAGGCAACTGTTCAATGTTGTCTAAACTGTATTCCGAATTCCAAATTTCCAAGAAAACTGCTTTGTCCATACTGCTTCGGTTTTTAGAAACAGTGTAAAGCTCAGCTGCTAATGTGCTGCTGACTGCTCTGTCCTGCTTCTGGCTCTTCCACTTTAGCGGATCAGCGGGGCAATCTTGCCTCCATGCATTGCCTTGTCGGTGGCACATACCATGTATGCAGACTGACTCTTCAAGTCGTTTTCTGTAGCCCACGGTGCGTCTGCTGTCACCATTTTGGTGAGCTGCTGCAAATCACTTGGAACCACCTTAGACCTTCACTCAAACATGTTTGAAATCTCGAGCTTCTGCCACTGCTCTGTTCGCTTCAGCGATCTGTTCTACTGTGCCATGTTGAATGTTCTGTTGTATGTTTGCTGTCATGGCTGCCAATTAGTCAGGTCTTGTCGCTGTCGACGACCAACTCAAGCCGCCGGCTACTCCTCGCAGCTGACTCTTTTCCTTCTCGTTCAGGGGCGTGTCTTTCCCTCGACGTCTCTCTGTCTCTCTCTCTCTCTCTCTCTTAAAATCTTGATGGTGTTCAACTTCTCTGCGTACTCCTTCTGCTCGATGATGAAGCCTTCCTGAGTGCTTGAATGGATACAATGCTCTGAGTTTGTCGGTGATGTTCTTTGCAAACAAGTCTGTACCTGTGCAAATAAGATCATCCACATGAACTGCCATAGAACAATGATATTCACTCTCACGCCAATAATGAAAAAGACACGGATCCAAGCACGACTGTTTGAGTCCTGTAGCAATGAGACTTTGGGTCAAAAGTGCTGCGCCAGGCCTTAGGTGCGTCTGCCAGTCCGTAGATGGCCTTCTCAGCCATCAGCAAGCTGCCTGATGGAACTCCAGGCATTCCACTTGGTGGTGGTTCAATGTACAAGGGTCCTTCATCAACGCGTTGACCTGTAAGATGCTGCTTTTCCAACTTGTGTAGGTCAGGGTCCAAATACCCTCTAACGCACCATCTTGCCTTCACCTTCATTTTTCCAGGTTCTTTGTCATCTGGTTTCTCTGTAATGACAAACCTCGATGGGAGAATGCGTCCTTTCTTGAGTCTAATTTGCTTGGCTTCCCTCGGAGGAATAATCTTCAACGCCTTGTACTTGAACAACTTCTCGACTTCTGCCCGTTTGCTTTCTTTGAGTACCATGTCAGTATCCTTTTTGAGTCCTACCCAAACGGTCACCTCATAGACCTCACGCTCGCCGTCCGGAATTTCCGTCTCCAACTCTGGCATTTTGATCTCAAAACCTGAGTATCCTGACCATTGCTTCAGTTCCGGGTGAAACTGCCTTGTCTGCATGTAGTCATCGTCTGTGATCACGCTGTAGCCATCAACCCCTTCAGTTTTTACCAAGGAGTATCTTTTTCCCGTCAACCACTGCAGAGGAACTGGGCACGTCTTCTCACATGGCCTGTATGGGCCGTGCTGTTGTCCATGAAGTCGAATGAGAACACCGTCTTGCCAGGAGATCCTCCATCTCTTGGTCTTGTCAGTCCAGCGACGGGTTAGTAGTTCTGTCTGTACTGCCTCTGTTAGTCGTTTGTTTGCTCTTCTTCCTGCGTCAAGCCTGCTCAAGTCCTGTCTCATGGCTCTGGTCAATGGTGTTTCACGAATTGGTCCATAAGTGTCCAGGAGCTCCTCCTCGTCGTAGGTCTCGTTCTCCTGCAGTTCAGCAGCTAGGACCTGCAACACTTCCTGGTCCTCGTCCCACGAAGCGTCTTGATCTGGTAGATCTTCTGCAACCACGAATGTGTCTTTCTGGCTCGCCCTGTTGGGGCCCTTTGCATTGGCCAAAATAGCCCGGACTGCTTGCGACACCTCCGTGATCTTGAAGGATGCTCGAGTTGCGGTCAGGATCATGGCCTCCTGAGTCAATTCCAGGTGCAGCTTTCTCAACATGAACCAACCCTGGGCAGCTTCACTCCCTGCTCACGCAACGGCGGCGAAGCGGGTGATGAAGGCCTTCATCGTCTCACCTGAACGGATTGAAGTCTCGAAGAAAAATTCCTTCAAGGCCTCATTCATGTCATCCTTCTCGAGTGGCTTGAAGCGATCATCCAACGCTTTGAACACTTAGTTTTTCGCCACCACTCTTCGGCTTCACCAGCCAAAACCCCGATCAACTTGGGACCATACTTTTCAGCAGGATATGTGTTGGGCAGACTGATGATCATCAACGCCGCCCTGCGTCTCCATCGCTTGTAGAGACTAGGGTCTGAACCATCAAAGCGTTCCAGCCGTGTAGCTGCCAGAAGCCTCACTTGCCATGGGTGGAGCCCAGCCGCTACCCCTCGTGCATCGACGACGGGCACGAGCGGCAACGACCGGGCTCCGCTACCACTGTGAAAAACCACAGCGCTCTAACACGCCTTTTTCATCTGTACCGGTACGGCCTCGGGTATTCGAGTGGTTCATTCCAATGTCTTGTCACACATGGTGTCCTCTACATCATCATGATTTTCACATGTAAGGCATACAATTACAGAGCGCAACAAAAATCAAAAGTCAAAGTAAAACATAGACACCAATCACTCTATAGACTATAGAACATGATGGAACCTCAAAGCGGAAGCACCACCACAAGAAGGGCCGAAGCACACAAGAATAGACAAGACTGTCACAGACTGTCAGACATTTGCAAGATGTGGTAAGACAGCATTTGGGAGAAGCTTTGCAAAGCAGGGGTGAGATGTTCATGTTCAATGGTTGTTCTTTGCTGGGCGTGCATAACATGTTGGTTTTGCTACTTGAAGGATCTTTGGTCGATGTTAGGTTGCTTGAAACTGTCAAGCCTCTTTATTCAGCCCCTACATATATATACACACACACTAGTCTTTCAACATTCTCAAAGCCAGTCTTCGCACCAAAAGTGTTGATTGAACGTGTCTTTACGCCAAGTTCCACTGAACCTTCACGTCCACATCACAGACTTACTTGCTTTGAACATATCTGCTTCACAAAGACCGCTGGACCAATCAACAGAAGCCGCCCCCGAAGGGTGTCCTAATTTTCAAAGCCGGGGGGGGGGATAGACGCCCACCTCTACCTCCCGCCCAGGGTGCACGACTACTACTACTTCCCCCCCCCGCCAGGGCGGGGTGGTCACGACGACTACTACTTTTCCCAGTTCGAGGGGGGGGGCCCACGACTACTACTATTTCCTCGTAGCATAGGATCCCTCTTTAAGGCCCTCGTAGCACAGGATCCTTCTTTCAGGACCTCGTAGCGTAACAGGATCCTTCTAAGGCCCTCGCAGCACAGGTTCGAGCAGTGTAACAAGGCCAGGTTCGCCATGAACATGAAATACATTCAGTGTCACTCAGACTCAAGACCATGATGCCCCACAAAGGCCCGTCAATGCATAGAATTTAATTCCAAAACACTACAATTCAAAGGGACCAGCGGATGAACAAAAACTCTGCAAAGTGATATTACATTATTGATCTTACATAGCTAGGGCTACTGTACAAATCTGTGGCAGGATCCTTCTTTATGGCCGGTAAGAAGGATTCGACGAGGCGTCGTAGCACAGGATCCTTCTTTAAGGCCGTCGTAGACAGGATCCTTCTTTAAGGCCCTCGTAGCACAGGATCCTTCTTTGAGGCCGTCGTAGCACAGGATCCTTCTTTAAGGCCCTCGTAGCACAGGATCCTTCTTTATGGCCTGTAAGAAG